GAATGAGGAGCGCTGAGATCTATCAGAAAAGGCCAGGATAGATGAACCTGAACAAAAGCTACTGATGCAGGGCTCACCACCTCCCCCTTCTGAGATTTCCCCAATCTATCCATGTGAGCCCCGTGCCAAGTGCTTCCTAGCTATGGGTTTTGTCCGTGCAGGCTTTCCTGATGACCCTGTCTCTGCAATCTCCATGGGCTCCAGAGTCCCTTCTACGGTCCTTCCAGGCACTTTGCAATAGTGACCTGCAGTTGTGTCCTCTTCCTTTGCTATCTTCATGGGTTGGCCAGGGGAGGGGTTGTTCGCTTTAGTAAAGAGTTCTAACTAGACAGCCAACACAGCTACTCAATCTCTTCTTTCCTCCTTTCTCTTTCTCTAGATTATCCCCAAACTGAGTAGCTGCTGGGGGCTAGGGGCTGAGTAATAGTCTGTCCTTGCCATCCTACCACCTAGTCCTTAATTTGGGTTTGGAGAGTCGCCAAGAGAGCCGAGACGAAGGTTGTTGAGAATAGAGCTCCATCTTGATCTGTCCCAGGTCTGCGCCAGTAAAACGCGAGGAAGCTTAGGCAAACCACGGACGGAAATCAACTGAGGACTCACCACGGCACCTGCTCCCAGCTCACCTTTATCAGAAAGAGATAGAGTCCTGCCATTAGCAACCCCTCTCGAGGGGTCTCTAACACACTTAGTTCTGCTATGGTTAGGGAGTAGTGGACGTTCACCTTCTCTCCACGCCCTTCTCCCAGGCCACGACGAGCTGGCCCCATCAGAGGGACATGGGCTGGCTGCGAATCCCCTGCCACAGCTGTGCACATCCCTGTGGGGTGGGGGGTGTAAACTGAAAACAAGCTGCAGAGGATTTCTGCCAACTTTTGTGGATCTTGCCAGGGTTCCAGGAAAAAAACAAAAAACAAAACAAAACAAACCACACACACCCTTTAGATGAATGATATCAGGAGAGGAGAAGGGCATGGCATTCTAAATATTCCCTCTGTGCCTAAGGGGCCTGGGTAGCTTCTCAGTGCCATCAGCTTTGCTAGAGATCCAAATAGGAAGGGCTGGTTCTCCTCACATTGCGATGGGAGAAAGAGGGGATGATACGGCGCCTTGGTTTCCTTTCCCATATTTGTGCTTATCAGCCTAAGTCCCCTTGTGTTTGCCTGTTGCCCAGTCACTAGTACATCTCCGTACTGTCCACCCTGCTGCCTGCATATGAGGTTCTCCATCCCGTGATCTCCATCATTGGTCTTGACCATTTCTGCCTTCCCAGCTCTGCAGCCTGTGCCTGGAAAGGGATTCTTGGAGGCAGGATGTGGTCTAGGACACGAAGTGGACTCAGCGCTCAGCCAGGGGTCACAGGAGTTTTGCATCGTCAGACAGGGCAGGTAACGCACAGCTAGAAAGCCCAGCTAGAAAAGCCGTGTCCCTCTTGGGGAAGCCCACTGAGGAAGAGAACTGCAGTCAACAGGATCCCATCCAGCCCTGCTCAGGAGTCTGTGGGACACAGGGAGGGACAAACAGAGGCAGGAGGAGCAGAGACAAGGGGGCGGTGGAGAAAGGGAGGTAGTTTCTGTGAAAGAGCAAGTAACTTCAGTTCCCAAATTCCTGAGTTTTGAGACTTGGAAGCTAGCTCTCTCAAAGGCCAGAAGTATAAGAGTGGAGACTAGCAGACGGCCTTGGGGTGATGCTATATGAGGAGGTCCGACACTGAGCAGAACATTTCATTCACTGGTTGCGGTGCAGAGAGCCGGGGACTCTGGGGACCAGTCTTTTGACTCTGAGAGGGAAACAGAAGTAATGTACTGAGACTGAGGTCATGAGGCCCAGAGATTCGTCCAAATTTCTGGCCCTACTGCCTCAGCCCCCAGGAGAGGTGAAACCAACGTCCAGGTTCCCTGGAGGGTCTCAGAATATGGAGAAACAGGAACGCACAGTTAAATAAACAGTTGGCTTCCCCAGACTGCTCATCCTCCCATAGCAAGAAGTGGGGAACAGGAGAAAGACACATCCCTCTTCTGTCATAAAGATCTGTTACAATGCACTTAGGCAACCAGAGGGTGGGGGCAGACGCTGGAAAATGAGAACACTTCCTAGGGAACGAAACTGGAAAAAATGTGTGGTTAGTTTCCAATGAAACTGCATGAATGGACGCTGAAATTTGAATTTCATTTAATTGTCATGTATCACAATATTGTTTAAAAATTTTTCTTTCAAGCATTTGAAAGTGTAAAAACTATTCATCGCTTATGAGCCATACAAAAATGTCCACCTGCTGGACGGGTCTTACAGGCTATAGCATTTGCTGACCTCTGCTCTAGGCTTCCACCATACAGCCGTGGCAGGAAAAAAGGAAAAACCATGGAAAATGCAGTCTCTCCTGAGCTTGCATTCTAGTGACTAAAAGTCTCCCTCAAGCAGTGACAATCTCTTCCCACGATGGTGTGTCTAGCACAGCAACCTGGAAAGCCATTTTGGAGGGCCCACCCATGACTAAAAGCTTTTTTGATGGATTGTGTAGCGATTTCCACAGGAGTGCACCCAAGCAGTGGTGATGTGTTTGTGCATTTTCAGAGAACCAGGGGACTCTCTTTTCTGCTAAAGCTTGGTCAACAGTGAGATATTTTAGACATTTTCTTGTCTGAGTGGGATATGAAGATCTCTATGATGCCGTACACTTGAACAGAGAGGCCTGAGAGGTTTGGGGTTGAGATTATTTTCACCGAATACTCTGACAGGTCTGTGCTTACGACGGCCTGTTGAGTGAGTGTGGGAAAGCAGAGGATATTTTGCAAGACTGGCTTTTTTCCCCTCTTTCTTTCCTTTCTGGTTCTTTCATCCTGAGCTATTGAAATTTCCTTTCTGAATATAAAAGAAGGTTTCTCAAGTTCATAGCTCTTATGTGAAAATTTGGAACTCAACTGATTTTTTTTCTTTTGGTATGACTGAGTCTCTTATAAGTATTCATACATATTTTATGGCTAATGCTTGAACTCTGGCTAATTTTGGGGGGGGTCAATTTTGAAAGATGTAGCAGTTGCATGACCTAAATGAACCAAATTAACTACTGTTAGAAGCCAGCCCAGTTAATAAGCACTTCATATTTTTTCACTATTCTTCATGTTTAAAGACCAAACTCTGGTCAGTGTTTATACCATGAGAGTCCTCAGTCCCACTTGCCAAATTCTGCTTGGCCGATCCCAGGAGAGACGTCTCATGGGCCCTGTGGTCCCCTTGGGAAAGGGAAGTCTCCTATTCACAGACCCGGGGTTTGGTGTTCCTGTTCTACTGACTTGCAAAGCTTTGCCCTACAGTTTCTGTAATAGATCTTTTCTGGAAAGGCCTCTGGCACCCTTGGAAATTAAAAAGCACTCCATGAATACAGGGTAGCATTAGCATATGCATCTTAAAATTTTAGTCTCTCCTCTTCAATTTTTTTGCCATTATGAAGAATAATCAAGTATAAAGTATAAAAATTGCAAGCAACAAAAGGATGAAAGGTTGAAAGGTTAGATTAGCTGTTTGCAAGGCGGGTGGGTCCATAAAACGGCATTATTCCTTGTGCTTTCTGCACAGGGCATCTGCCTGAGAGCTGACCTGTCAAGGGCTACCCTCACTGCTGCCTTAAAATACCCAAAGTGACAGTTCTGAAATGTCTTTTTTCCTACCACATGTCCTATGCATTCTCTCCCTAGAGGTGAGAGCCAGATTTGAAAAGCCGCATCACTGCTCTTGGGGTCTTTGCAGTCTCTCTTCCTCTGCACAGGTAGCAAAGGGACGAGGGACAGGAAATGCGGACCACACGTCAGAGGAAGAGATTGCTTATCAAGAAAAACAGTCACGTCCACAGAGCCACAAGTGGGGGCCAAAACATTTTTTCCAGTTCCATTCCCCAGGAAGTGTTCTCGTTTTCCAGCGTCTGCCCCCAACCTCTGGTTGCCTAAGTGCATTGTAACAGATCTTTATGACAGAAGAGGGATGTGTCTTTCTCCCGTTCCCCACTTCCGTCCACATTTTGTGAACATGTCTAGGGCAGCTTTTCCACACTTCAATGACAGAATTAAGTAGTTGTTGATGTAGGAAAGAATGTTAGGTTTCGAAGCCGACGGCCAAGAAAGAATTCTTGAGACACCTTTGGTGCCAACCGGTGGTTTTATTAAAGCACAGGGACAGGACCCGTGGGCAGAACAAGCTGCACCGGGGTCATGAGGAGTGGCCCATTATATATTTTCAAGCTGGAAGGGAGTTAGGGATAGGGTAAGTCTCTAAGGAATTTTGGAAGCAAGGTTTCCAGGACCCTGAGGGGGCTAGCTATTGTTGGGAAAATGGCATTTATTACCATCTAATAAAACCTTAGTCATGAAACCCTTCAGATGTATATCAGTGGGCCATATGCTTGGGGGGTGATTGCAAACACGTATCTTGGGGGGCTTATAGACAAAGGAAGTTTCCAAAGGGATTTTTATATATTTTTTACAAGATTTTATTTATTTGACAGAGAGAGACACAGCGAGAGAGGGAACACAAGCAGGGGGAGTGGGAGAGGGAGAAGCATGCTCCCAGTGGAGCAGGGAGCCCGATGCGGGGCTCAATCCCAGGACCCTGGGATCATGACCTGAGCCAGAGGCAGACGCTCAATGACTGAGCCATCCAGGTGCCCAGGAATTTTTATATGTTAAAGTAGACTTACAGGAGGATCCTGGGGGCAGTGTGTGTGTGTGTGTGTGTGTGTTCAGGCTGGGGTTGTCTTTTGCCCTTAGCAAAGTATTAACATCAAGGCAGTTGAGTCCCTAGAGGAATGTCACTCTGCCTGTTTCAAGGATTTGTCAATGGGCTGTAGGTAGTAAGGAAATTTATTTTTCTTCTGCCTTTGTTCCCCACATCAGTTGTGACAGAGACTATATGGTTCATAAGCCTAAAATCTTCGCTATCTGGCCCTTCACAGGAGAAGTCTGCTGCCCCTTAGCCTAGAAGATACTACTTCAAATTAGGCACTCAAGGAGATGACGCGCAGGGGAGGGGACCTCACGGCAGGTAATAAATCATCATTAATCAAGAAGATATCTTCAGCACCGGAATCTCCTGGCTTTAAAAAGGAACCACCCAAAGAGAAAGACTTTCGAAACCCAGGGCTCAGAGGGGTCCGCGCAATAACTTAATTTTGAGCTGTGAATCCAGAGCTCTTCATTAAACTTAACCACCCTGTAATGGCTTTCGGATTGATAACCCTTTCACTTTGCATGGCGTATATTGGTTATCTACATGCAACACAAGAGAATACAAAGGACATATATGAAGCTGTTGGTAGTGAGGGACACAGTTACATGAGGAGGAGAACATCTGAATGGGATTAATAGTGCTGGATACCGCAGATGGAGCTTCGTAAAAGGCTCTGAAATCTTTGAAGGAAAGACTTTGTGAGTGCATAGTATCAGCTTCTTGTTCTGGAACGTGTTGATGAGAGAAGGTAGCAGTTGCCACCAGGCCTTGAGGCTGCAGTCCTTACCTCATTCTTTTTCCACAGTGGGAGCTTCTCAATATCGTTCTTTTATTAAGTCCTCGTATCAAAGTGCCAGGAGAATGGAAATCGTTTTGTTAATTATTAAGTTCTATATAATAAAAGTACCCGGTGCTATCAAAAAAAAAAAAAAAAAAGGCACTCAAATCTTTGTTGAATGAATCGAACCACCATATATATGCAAGCGGCTCTCCGACCTTACTCATCCCTTCTGAGCTAAAGCCCATATCCGTCACAGACCACTAACTGAGGATACTACCACTGGAGTGAACAGTTAGCAGTGCACTATTCCACTGAGGGTCATGCAGAAAAGTTTCCAAGATAAGACATTCTTTTGGGTCTATAAAACTAAAGGCAAATCTTTAGAGTATTACTTGTATTTGCCTTGGTTCTTTCTCTTGAAATTGCTGAGGACTATTTTTTTTATGTGGTTCTTCCAAAAGCTCCTAAACCTCTCATCACAGATTAGTACCCACCATAGGACAAAAGCAGTGCATACAGAAAGATACTTAAAATCATCTTCAGGGACATGGCAAATATTTTGCACAATAATTGGTTAACCGGGGGGCATGTGGCTGGCTCCAGGCAGTAGAGCGTGTGACACTTGATCTTGGGGTTGTAAGTTCGAGCTCCAGGTAGGGTATAGAGATTGCTTAAAATAAATAAATATAATCTTAAAGAAAAAATAATTGGTTAACCTAGACTGTTCATGGGAATCTCTACCCAGTTCCAACCCAAGATCTCGCTTGGAGCTTGGGTACTAGGGAGTTTGCTTCTCAAACTGATCAAGGACACATGACTCACAGAAAACTGAGAACAAATTAAAACCATATACAAATGGAAAGATTTCTTCTCACATTAAGAAACTGTAAAGATCTCAGGTAAAAGAAAGGAGTCATTCTAGTGCCAATCATGGCAGTTGGATATCTGAGTGACTAAGGATGTGTGTAGTAAAATCTATTAACAGAGATAAGAGCCTGATCCTCAGTAAGCAGGATTTATTACTAATGTTTTCTTAATGTAAATTCTATGCCCAATGTGGGGCTCCAACTCACCACCCCAAGATTAAGAGTCACATGTTCTACCAACTGAGTCAGCCGGGCATCCCCTCAGTACATAGAATTGAGAGATAAATACGGACTACAAAGGTTTACTATGTTTTGCAAAACTATACAATTTCTTAGTCAACTTAAACCTCCTCTAAACTCCCATGTTTACCTTTTGTTTTTTTAAGTGACAGCTGAAACAGATCATTGTATTATTCTGTGTACTTCTTCAGCTTCAACTGGCACTCCTGTCTTGGACTTTGTTTTGTATATACTGAATCTATCCTCATACCTTTTACTTATTGTTGGTAAACTTTTTATTTTAGTGTTTTTAGATTTACAGAAAAAGTGCAAAGGAAGCAAGAGTTCTCATATATCCTACACCCATTTCCCCCTATTATTAACATCTTACATTATTATGGTACATTTGTTAAAATTAATGAATCGATACTCACAAGTTAATATCAAGCCCATACTTTATTCAGATTTCCTTGGATTTTATGTAATGCCCTTTTCTGTTTCGTGATCCCATTCAGGATGTTATATCACATTTAGTCATGTCTTCTCAACTCATGGCTGTGACTGTTTCTCACCTCCCTTGTTTTGAGTAGTAGTGAGTATTTAGTAGGATGTCCCTCAACAGGCATTTTACCTAATATTTTTCTCATTTTGGCTGGGGTTATGAGTTTTTGGGAGGAAAACCACAGAATTAAAGTGCCATTTTCGGGGTGCCCAGGTGGCTCAGTCGGTTAAGCGTCTGCCTTCGGCTCAGGTCATGATCCCAGGGGCCTGGGATCGAGCCCCAGATCAGGTTCTCTGCTCAGGGGGAAGCCTGCTTCTCCCTCTGCTTCTGCTGCTCCCACTGCTTGTGCTCGCTCCCTCTCTCTGTCAAATAAATAAAATCTTTAAAAAAAAATAAAGTGCCATTTTCATTACAATGTATCAGGAGTACCCTTTTACCAACATGACATAACGTATGATGTTGACCCTGATCACCTGGGTAAGGTAGTGTTTGTCAGGTTTTTCCATTGTCAAATTACTTCTTTCCATACTGTAGTTTTTTAAAAAGATTTATTCATTTATTTTAGAGAGGGAGAGAAAGGGAGAGAGAGTGGGAGGGGGGCAGAGGGGGAGAGAGAATCCTCAAGCAGATTCCCCACTAAATGTGGGGGCCTGCTGACTCGGGGTTTCGAATTCACAACCCTGAGATCATGACCTGAGCTGAAACCAAGAGTTGGTTGCTTAACCCACTGAGCCACCCACGTGCCCCACTCTACTCTTAACTACAGAGAACAAACTGATGGTTACCAGAGGGCCAGTGGGTGGGGGGATGGATGAAATAGGTGAAGGGGATCAAGAGTACACTTACCATGACGAGCGTTGGGTATAGAATTGTTGAATCACTATATTGTACACCTGAAACTATTACACTGTATGATAACTACCTAGAATTTAAATAAAAACTTTAGACCTAAGCTGTTCATATTGACTTGCTCTCAAAGAGTACAGTAGGTCTTTTTTTTTTTTTTTATTTTTAAGGAGTAAGGCATTATATTCCAACCCCTTACACAATTGGAAATTCTGCATGGGTAATTTCTCACATCTCTCCCTTTGTTTATTCAATCATTTACATCAGTAAGTACTCATGTATACTTATTTCATATTTTGGGTTATAATCTATACTCCAATACTAGTTTATTTTGTTGCTCAAATTGTCCCAGCTTTGGCCGCTAGTTGGACCAATTTCTTTGCTTCCCTTGGTCTTGAATATTCCTTTGCCTCTTATACCTGAACTCTCACTTGCTCTTCAGGATTCAACTGTTATTTCCTCCAGGAAAATAATAACCACCTGATAACACCCCTACTCCCAGCCCTTAGTCTCCCGCCACTCTGGTTATGTTGTGACTCTACCTACCTAAAATTTATGCCTACTACGGCACTTAGGCACAGTCTACTTGTCTGTCTCTCCCACTGGACAGTGAGCTTTTTGAGAGTAGGGATATTTTATTTTCTATGCCTAGTATGTAGTATATAGTGCCTCACTCACACAAAGCAGGATCTCAACAAATACCTCTAGAACAATCTCTGTGGTTTTTCTCTTCAGTCCAAAAATCCAAGAGTGCCCCACATAAACCAGAAGCCACAGAGGGCTTGGTAACTAACCACTCTGGGAGGAACTATAAGGTGTTACTGTTGTATTTAATGTCATGTAACACAACAGGCTCAGGATCTAAGTCAACACTTCAAGTCTCATTTCTAAGTAAGCAGACTTTTCTAACAAATCCTTGTTACATTTGAGTAGTTACATTCAGGTCAATAGCCAATTAATTACCTTTATATTCAGAACCAAGGCTGAGGAGCTTCTAGTTCTGAGACTGGAGAAGTGAGGTTTCCAAAACAGCACAGACATTTTAGCCATGAGGTTCTCAAGAGCCACATCTGTGGTTGAGGATTGTATAACCACTGAAGAAATGAATTTGCTGAGTTGTATTCTTTGTCACAAATTATTATGAGAAAATGACTTTAATCAAGAATCTTTCAAGATACAGGTATTAAAACTGGTAAACTCCATCAAGCTGAAGTAGGTTTTTAGGTCGGATCATGCTACCACTTTCGTTGGAGCCACATTAACTCTTGACTCATCACCTTAATCACACTCTTGTTCCGGTCTATCCATTCACCATAAAGATCATGTCATTCCACTTAACCCTTCCTATTAACTGCTTCTATAACAAAATTCAAATTCTTAACCATGCCCTAGAAGGCTCTGTATATCTATTGACTTCCTCTAGTCCTTCAAAACTCATCCTGTACTCATCTCTTCCTTAATGGCCCAGCCACGCTCATCTTCCTGAAGTTGTGGCTCAGTACCACAATTTTTTTGATGTCTAGTAGCTAAATTTTCTTATTAGAATTTTACAAAGTTCTTCAATCTTTAATGTTTAAGTAGAAGTTGTGTGCCTGAGAATAAATTCAACTATGTCTAAGAAACCCCTGCAATTCCACTGAAACAAAGATTAGATTAGATTAAAACATGAGGACCCATATTCTTCTTGAGTTAGAAGTTCTTTTGGGGTAAAAATGTACATTATCATTAAGTTTTAACTATTATGTTATTTTTCCAAGGAACAGTGATATAGATTGATGTTGACATCTTTTTTTTTTTAAAGATTTTATTTATTTATTTGAGAGAAAGAATGAGATAGAGAGCACGAGAGGGAAGAGGGCAGAGGGAGAAGCAGACCCCCTGCTGAGCAGGGAGCCCGATGTGGGACTTGATCCCGGGACTCCGGGATCATGACCTGAGCCGAAGGCAGTCGCTTAACCAACTGAGCCACCCAGGAGCCCGATGTTGACATCTTTCAAAGACTAACTCAAACTTAAAGATGCTTTCTCCCAGGGCGGCTGGGTGGCTCAGTCGTTAAGTGTCTGCCTTTGGCTCAGGTCATGATCCCAGAGTCCTGGGATCGAGCCCCACATCAGGCTCCCTGCTCAGTGGGAAGCCTGCTTCTCCCTCTCCCACTCCCCCTGCTTGTGTTCCCTCTCTTGCTGTGCCTGTCAAATAAATAAAGAAAATCTTAAAAAAAAAAAAAAATGCTTTCTCCCTATTTACAAAAAGTAAAAACACAAATTTAAGTAAAGCACTGCCTTTTAAAAATAATAATTTATTTAAAAATTGAGTCCCTTTGATAATTAATAAAGATACCTTATTGTATCCTTCTACACATATGGAAATTAACATGACCTTACAATGTTGACAGCTTGAAATAAAACATAAAAAAAGTCAGACCAAATTAAAAACCATAATAATCTTTTATTTAAATGCATTCAAAGAGGCATTAATTCTAGGCTTCCCATTTTGATGATTTTCTGGACATATCTGCTTAAGTTC